TTAACATGCGTGGAGTAAAAAAACAATTTAAGAATTTTAATATTTACAATAATGGATTAAAATCTATATGTAAAACTAATAGGTAGCGCTCGCCCTTTGTAGCAACACAAGAACAAACATAAGTAATTTTCTATTACACTGTATATTGGCTAATTTTTACAGCCTTATAACACAATGCAAATCTTTTCAGCCGGAATCCCTCAAATTTAAACAAGAAATTTGATGAAAGGTAGACTGCAAAACTTCCAAATAGTTCATGTTTGCATTGTCAACCGAACAGCAAATATAGGGCTCTAATAGCAAAGCAACAAGTGAAAACACAACTACACACGCATATACCACCAATGGCACTTCAAGAGAAACAGGAAGACGCTTAACAAATTTGCTTCATGGTTCAAGCACTGAATTACAATAACAAACTATTGGTACCTAAATTTGATGGTGATGTTAATCTAAAAATGTGAAGCTTATTGCACCAGAAATACCTCATCTTTTTAAGGGGTCCTGCAATTTCCTGGATACCCATCTGTATTGATACGACTTGGAGAGAGAGCTCTTTTTGCTATTCAAATGGATTTATGAAGGTTGTGCTATTAGCTGCTGGTTTATGTTTTGCTTTCTTCTTACATGGTAGAGAATCGACTCTTCACAGCATTATCAATCCTATTTGTACAGACGAAAATTAGGCCATACCAATGAATACCTTTTATGACTAAGTCTAAACTGCTCAGAATTATTGAAATACTGAAAAAGTAGATCTGATCACCTTGCATCAATACTTGCGTCTTGCAATTTTAGTCCATCTGTTCCCAAATATCTTGTAGGCTTGCATATCATGTTTAGATTTCAGAAATTTAATAAGATTGGTGAAATTATGCAATCAATCCTAGATCCAATGTCATGTAATGGAAAAATCAATTTAGCATATTTGAAGTCAGGGAAAAAAATGGAAGCAAACATGAATAACATCCTCCAGTTACTCTCTCGACTCATTTCATAAAATTGGATGATTCCATAAAGACGAAAAAGTCGCAAAGGCCCTATAATGTGCGAATAGCCAATAGCAGCAAATTAAGGTAAAAAACAGATGATACAAAAACAAGGGTAAAAACAAGCAATAGCTAGATTCCTAGAAGCAAGTAATAAATGTTTAAGCATTCTAGATAACAAAAAATTATCTAAAAATCAATTACAATGGCCCTCAAGCAAGCCCCGCCCATATCAGAAGTCAGAACATTTATTAATTTTAAATTTAATCCATGCCAACCCAAATAACCATTTCCATTCTATAGAAACAAAAAAAAATGAGGGGAACTGTGATAGTAAGCCAGTTATTCAGAGGTTGAGTACTTAAAGTACAACATGAATTTAAGCACCTAAGATTCAAAGTTCTGGTTGCCTTAAGAAAAGACGCACCAAATTCAACCTGAGAGCAAGCATTGGTGTCGTTCACCCCTTCACTTCCCCTCCCTTTCTCTTCATGGCTTTGGTGTCGTTCAAGATCCCTAGCAAACTTAGACTGCCGGAATATGCCATGGCAGTGAAGTTAGTTCCAAGGATTCTTTGAAGTCAAATTCGTGCGACTTCAGGAAAGCGTTCAACATGATTGATGGGTTAATTTTTCATCCCCTTTTTCTAGATTGTCCATTGATTGATTAAGGAAGGGGTGAGTTTTTATCTCGTCAATTTAGAAGACTGAAGTTTAATATGAAGAGAGATGTAACAATTGTCTGGGGTTTTTAGAGAGGAAAAAATGGAGAGGCATGGAGGAGGTTGAGTTGCAAATGGTGTTTTTTGAGAAGTGAGAAAAGAAAGAGAAGATGCAAATGGTAAGAGAGGAAGGAGGTGAATAAAACGAGGCTTTTGCCTTGGGCCCCTTAAAGCTAAAGCATCGTTCAAGAATCCCACTGCTGCGGTATGTTTAGATGTCAAAACAGAGGTGTGAAAAGTTAAGGGAAAAGACATTCAAGCATTTTGGGCCATAAACGCTAGGGGAAGTGTGTTGGCCAGGCACGTGAAAAGGGCTTTTGTGACGTGCAACCGGAAGATCTATTGGGCGTTGAAGGGGACTCCAACCGCGCATGTGAAATGTGAAGGGGGCGAAATTAAGCAACCGGGAAAGTGAGGGTTTGTACGTGAAAGTACGGCAGGGAAAAAAAGCGCGAAGCTTACTGGATAAGCTAAACAGTGTAGGCGTATTAGAAAGGAAGAAGCGCCAAAACCGAAGCAGGAGGAATAACAGAAGATAGGGATTTGTTATGGAGCTGGCGGCGGAAATAGATGCTTCGGATATGCAGTGGGACAGTGAAGGAGAAAGCGAAAATGTAGTATTGCTGATGCATGAGAGTGGAACACCTTCGAATTTTAAAAGTTGCAGCAGTGAAAGGAAGGCCATTCGTCGGACGGCAGAAACAATGGTAGTATCGCTGATGCATGAGAGTGGAACACCTTCGAATTATAAAAGTTGCAGCAGTGAAAGGAAGGCCATTCGTCGGACGGCGGAAACAATGGTAAGCCACTCAACTCATTCCGTGAAGAATATGGTGGATTGGATCTCGGATGAGCAGCGGCAGGCTGTCAGCGAGTTTGGATTCGGGTCAATTTTGAATGTGAAGGGAGTAGAGGTTGACGAAGAGATGTTGAAGTGGCTGGTGGATAACTTTGATGTAGATCGGAGGACACTGAACGTTCATGGGTACTGTCTACAGGTGAGAGCCGAGGATGTGGAATGTGTACTTGGTTTGAGCAGCCGTGGGAAAGATATTTAAAGCGAAAAGCGAAGGCAAGAGATGGATACAGAGTTGGAAAGAGAATTGAATATCAGAATAAATAGCGGTGAAATTGTAGTGGAGGAATTGAGGCACAGTATATGTAGTTTGCATAACGAAGGCTTAGAATTCAAAATGAAGTTCGTACTGTTTGTTGTTGGTAGGTTGTTAGCACCAAGTTTGGATGACACAGTGAGCCGGGCTCTGGTGGCTGTAGTGGCTACAGAGGAGAATATGAAAAATTTGAACTGGTCGAAATTCATACTTGACAATTTGGTGAAGAGCATCCGTGATAGAGACGGCAACGGAATAGCGGGATGTGCACTTTTCTTGATGGTATAAGAAAGATGCACCATTTTGTATTAGAGATAGGAATTGCTAGAATAATGAAATTAAACTTTGATAGAAAAGACCCGTAAATAATGGTAGGCGTTTTTGTCCGTGCAGATTTACTATCTGGAACGATTCTATATCGAGAGTGAGGACGAGTTTCGCAAGTTTCAGCCGAGAGGGCCGAGGCTAAGATTTTGAGGAAGGTACGAGATTAATGAAAGCGTGCGAATATTGAGGAGGAATCACATATTTGAGGGGGAACAGGTAATGTAAAATCCTTTCGTGTGAATTGTTGTTGAAATTGCAATCTGCATTTTGTGACGTTACTAGTAGTACAAAACTGAAGGCTTGTAGTGATAGGGCAATGTGCAGTTTTACAATAACATAAGCTGTAGAGAAGACATTGATAGAAGACTGATTGAAATTGAATGTGGTAATAAAGATGTGAATGATAGTATTGGTAGAATGGAAGCAATGATTGAATGTCGTTTTGAAAGGCTGAGGAGCATGGATGAAAGTGGAAGGGCGTGCAAAACAAACCGGGCACTTGGTGTGGAGGGTGGGCAGAAGGACGATTGGCGCGGTAATGTTAAAAGAGGGAGTGAGTTACATAAATTTAGTCCTACAACGCCAGATGTTAGGTCCAAAAGCAGGAGTGAAAATGATAGAGTCACTACGAATAGTACTGTAATGGGTGAAAAGAGTGCATCGAAAATTATAAAATGGAGGAGTAGAAAGAGACTAAGGATGGACAATACGGAGAAGCCTGTGGGGGAAGACAAACAAAACAGAAGGCAAGGTAAAAGAATAAAGGTATGCATTGGTTTGTGCCAAGGTATTTCTAGCATTAGAAAAGTAAAGTATAAATTGTAGTTTTATGTACAGATGGATAGCAGTGTGATGAACAAGTGTCAAACGAAGATGGTTGCTTTATTGGCAAAGGTGAGTATTCCAACGTTCCAGAATTACTAAAGTATGGGAAATTATAGACAATGAAAGATGACATATTTTTGTGGTAGCAGGAAACGAGGCTGGCATCTATCGGCGAAAAATTGAGTGAGGGACGAGCAAAAATACTGAAGTTCTTGTTTGACACTCAGCTGTCGCAAGGGTATGTACTGGATCATGGATTTGTTAAATCAACAGTTCTATTTTGTTTTATCCTTTATTTGAAATTGCAATGGGAAAGGGGACAGAAAAGTATTTGCAATTATAAGGTTGACTAAATATGTAGTATGATTATCCCCATAGAGGAGAGGGCATAGGAACGAAAATCTTGGAAGCAGTTAAAATTGGTTTACAAGTGAGCATAAAACTTACAATTTGTGTGCTGTCAATCATGCCACCTTATATAAAAAGTAAGGGTAGGTAACATGCTTGCATATAGAATAAAAGGTGAGTATTCCAGAAGTTTGAGAATGGAACTACAATGATAACTCAATGACCCTTATGGTGAGTACATAACCGCGTTAGGCTAACTCAATGACCGTAAGGACCGATTGAGTCATTGAAATCGTGATTGCTGGTTGTATTAGTGAGGAAGAGCGAACCTACTCTGGCCGTTTTAACTCGAGTCATTGAAAATGATGATATCAAATTTTTTAGATTATGAAACCGTAATACACATAGGGAAAAGATTAATGTACCCTGTTGTAATGACAGGGAAGTACTGGTGTCAATTAAGGGGCAGACAGCAAGTCGGGATGCAATGGGGTCTTTGCTTCCTGAAAAACCCATGGCATGTAATGTGAGTAAATCGAGGGATTGAAATTGGGTGGTGTTGTGTGGACTGTTTCATGGAGGACGAAGTGATGTGACTTGAGTTTGGTGCAGATAATCAATTGCTATTGTGCGATGAAAACAGTAAGGCAGCAAAGGCGTGCTGTAGATCAGTCAATGCGATGGTGGTTCATGCCAACTTGGTTTCAGGTACAAGTGTTCGGCCAAAGTTGGGGGGTGTGAGTACGTACATTCATATTAAAATGTCATATTTTACTGTCGTGTTATAGCAAGAGATTTTGGAGTTCAACAAATCAGCAGACGAGCTGTACTGTACATATCTACAGGAATGTAAAGTAGGAGGTAATATAAAAAAGTGTGAGAAGGTACGAGAAGCTGCCCTGTTATGTAGCATAATGGAATAGATACAGATTCCCATGATGATGACTAACTAACCGCTGCTATGCTTCAGATATTCGTGCCAATGTGGCACGATGAGCATCGGTATATGTGTGCGGTGGACATGGGAAGCGAAAAAGTATTAATTTATGATTCAATGAGAGGAGACGAGCAAACGGATATGAATAGGTGCAGCTCCGTGGAGATAATGGTAAACTAAGTTGGTTTGTCAAACATTTCATGAACACGACCATCACCTTTACAATTGGTGGCAGTAAACTTAAAATTACATATGTTTTTGTTGTATGGCCCTCAGATTGAAAGGTTGGAAGCAGCGCTGACTTATGGTTTGGAGGGGCAGTATTCGTCATGCCTTTGGCTGTACAAAATAAAAGCTGCAGCCACATGTCCACAGCAACGGAATGCGTAAGTTGCATGTGCATAGGTTTGGAAGTTATTTCCATAGTTCAGCAACGGTTGTCTAAATATGTGGTTATGGTTTGTATTGCAGGTGGGATTGTGGGTTATTCATGCTGAAGTACATGGATATGTTATCAAGTGGAATTGGAAGTTGGAAATGGAATCAGGTAAGAAAAAAGGAATGGCGTCGTGTGCTGTAACAGTAAGTGTGTTTGCTTGCATTGTTTGCGAACGATGGAGATAGTAACAAATTTATCAGTGCAATACAATTCGGAGCAGGAGCGGCGCAAAGTAGCACTGTCTTTGGTTCTGAATGATGCCAACGTTGTCCGTCATCAAATTATGCGGAAAGCGAACACGCACAGGAGGTTGGAGATGAATAAAGTTGAGGTTCGATGAAGGTGGCAAGATAGAGAGACAAAGTAGCGGCATTTTGTGGAAAGGGCCATGTAATAGGGGCTGTCATAGTCGGATGGACGTCGTCGTAGCCTAAAATGTAGAAGACGGAGACAGAGAGTCCAAAAGCTGCCATACTAAGGCAAGCGGTTGGTGTGTATCTATGAGTTTCATTAGAGGAAGGGAAAGCAAAGTTCAACCGAGCAAACTCGCCGGCGGTGGTGCGGGGAGACCTTGCTATGGGGATAACGAGTACCACAATCTTCATGTGGTCGAGAGTTAAGAGAAGATTTGTGGTTGGTTATGACTAGCGTACAGTGATCCATGGTATGCAGTCATTAGAAATAAATGAAAAAAGATTGAAATATTTGATTTGTGGTAATTAATAATTAACACGTTTAAATTTATGTATCGCGAGAGTTTATGAATTAGGTGTCTTGACGTATCCGAAACAATTTGTCTTAACACGGAGTTTAAACCTGCAATAGGTTAGTTTCTTACTTTGCATTCTATGCTAACGGGTAAATGGCACTCAAGTATAATATCGATCCGATTTTATCGAACAAATAAAGTGGCCATACATAGCTGGTGTTTTATTGCAAACCGTGTTCAATTAAATTTTATCCGATAAGTGAATTAGTAAGTATGGGATATTGGTACTCTGTTGTCATAGTGGAGGAAATCGATAAAGAGCCGGTGTTTTATTAGAAAAGGGGTTTTAGTAGAGAACTGATTTATTTTAATTTTATTCGATAAATAAATTATTTTATAGAAAAGGGTACTCTGTTCTTATATTGGAGAAAAACCATAAACAGCTGGGGTTTTATTGGAAAATGAGTTATTATATATTTTATCCGATAAATAAATCTATTAATAAAAAAATGGGTGCTTTGTTCTTATAATGGAGGAAGGTCATAAAGAGCTGGTCTTTTATCGGAAAGTGATACATTACGGAAGTGACCGCGATTTGGTTTATGAAATTATCCCAAAAAATTTAGAATTAGTTTATTTATTTATATAAATAATTATAATATATATTTATATAATACATTGTATAATTGTACTAATATTTTTTATAATTATAGAGAATATTATATATTAATAAGTATAATTTTTAGTATATACTAGTATATTTGTAATAACAAATATAAGTATAATTATATAATATATTATTACTACATACACATATATATTATAAATATGTGCACATATAATATACATTTATAAATATATATGTAGAATCTCAATGAGGTGAAGGTTAACATTTGACTAAAATTGGGCAAATAGTTCAAGATACAAGAAAAAATTAGCAACTTATTATTTGGAAACGCAACTTATTATTATTCACCTTGTAGGAATGCATATGCAATTGTTTTAGAAATTTGTCTTGCTCAAATATTCTATTTATTGGAACAAGAAAACTAAACTTTGGATTTTGATTTAAAAATTGAAAGGGCAAATATGTAAAGTTGCATTCTCATAAAATTCTTTCTTTCCACATCTCTCCAACTCTCATGTAAGGGAAAGATGTTTGTTTTCTTTTCTTTCGTTGAACTCCCAAACGAAATATGCAACTTTTCCTTTTTTTTGTAAGTTATCTCTTCTTTTATCTTCTCTTCCTTCGTAAACTCCCAAAGCAAGCCTAACGCCGATATCTAAATTTTTGTTTAAGCGAAAGGGGTATTTAACCGTATATTCAGAAACCTAGTGCTCGCACGTGACGGGGCAAAACAAGTTAAGAACCCTGTCGACTGTAGATACTGGTGGTCGGGACGAAGCTATCAAATATTGCATTCGTGTGAATTTGACAAAATTCTGCTGTTCTACGCAAACCAGACAGTGAAAAGCTATGGAAGTGGGTGTAATGAACAATAATTTAATGTTAACAATCAATTGAACACCAAACCAAGAGCACCACCACAGCCGTCTTACTCTGCTACAAATTGCTTGCATACCCTGCACGTGTCTCTATACCCATGGCATATTTACAAGAATATAATAGCAGTATTTGCTGCAGGAATCATAGAATCCAGGCAATTACATTTTCTGCATGAAATTGTTCAACAATAAACGCATCGCTTGCACTGTCCACACAAACACGACTCTGGGCAAACCACGAACTTCCCTTGAAGTTTCAATATTCGAATAATAGACTGAACCATTTTCTTCATGCAAGACAACCTTCCAGCCCGAAGTCACATCCCCAACAAGGGGTATGTCCAAGCTACTGGGTATGTTACCTGTTCCGTCAAACCATTTGCATGATGGGAAACAGCTGTGCTTGCGTCATGTGCATCCCTTCAATAACGTATTCCAATTTGTCCAACGAATGCATCAATACAGGCCCACAAATGTATTGTAAGTTCTCCAAGCCTGTCAGCAGCATAGACATCCCCATTCAAAAGTGAGGCAATCTTAAGCTCCTAGTCCAGCAGCTAATTTTCCCTATCGAATGACATATTCAACCAGGGGTTAGCTAAATGAATACATTACTCATACAGACTTCGTGTTGGTTAACAGATTCCATTGCTGGACTTTATTTTGGTACAGACGCAAAGCAAGAAGCCTAGCTCAATTAATGTCAACCATTGCTCCCTGACCAACTGTTAGTATTGCACGTATCCGAGAGGTTAACCAGACGGACAGATTTAGTGAGTGACATTTAGATCCTTAATGTTTAGACGAGAAGTTGCCAACAAACAATTAGAATGAAAACAGGCTAAACTTACTACATGCCAACGTTTGTAGCAGGAGTATATGGCTGACGCATCCTGCATTTGACAGCAATTACAGGCATTATCTGATAATTTTTCCTCATGTGCATTCGGGAACCTGCATACAACATACGTCATTCCCAACTTCAACATTTTTAGAATTTGCATAAAAAAACTCAGCGACGGCCCTTTGCAGTAAAAACAGAAGTAAGGGAAGAAAGTAGTACCAACATATATGAATTAGACAGGCCCAGTGTCTCACTAAAGCACAAAAGTTTTGCTTGTGTGTCCCATCAGAAGAGAGGTTCTCTCCTTCCAATGGTTTGGAGAAGCTTCCGTACAGTGAACGGCCCATAAACTGATCTTCCTCATGCTTTCAAATTTTCCTTTTTTTTCTTGGTCTGTGCATATGATCAGACGCAATTTTAGCTATCATAACGAGGTGTTGAACTTTTGTCAACATAGTCCTGAACATGAATGCATCTAAATACCTCCGGAGGATATATGTTTGGGGCTTCCCGTTTGCGCGTCACTTGCTTTGCTGTGTTCTGCAGTCCAAGTTTGCTGACAACATTAACATAAAAGTTCCAATCCACACTGCCTTCTGTTACGAGTGATTGTCCAAAACGGTTTCGCTTAATGAAATCTTGTACATTATCAGCACTGACCAATTTCTTCAGGTGTCGTACAAAATCTCCTTCAAGATCTGCAAATAAGTTTTGTGTCAAGCCAATCTTTCACCCTATGCTTACCGTAGCAAAAGCCACATTTCAAAGCCCTGCAGACCGCGTCTTACCCAAATAATTGTCATCTACAGTGTAACATGTATAAGAGGTGGGGAAGATGGCATTGTACGGCTGAAGAACGAGTAATATGGAAACAGTTAGCCCTAATCATGTTGTTTGTGCATACCAGAACATATACAAAAGAACGATCAGTGGGTATGGTGCACTTACAGAATTAAGGAAGGATTTATACGGAGAATCATCGACTAGTATCGTGTTAGAGCTGTTGTACGACGTATATTCTCCCCACGCACGTTTCAGGTCCTTAAACATCACCGTTTTGTCTGGATTTTCCCTAAGGCTGGTTTGTGTCATAGTGCACCGCGACTGATCCTGCACAATATTGATTGTTCCCGACTTTCATTTATCAAAAGTCTTACACACGGACTGACTACACACAATCGAAGTAATTTGTGAATGACATCTCACCCAAACAAATAACAGTCTCTGCTCCAAACGTTCATTCATTTTTTGGATAGACTGTCCAACACTGGTTGAATGTTGTGGCTGCAAAAAACACAACTGTCTTGAATTCAGGAAATAATAGAAAAACTTGTGTACGTTCTAGTTAATAAAGTAATTCAAATATAGGTTGACGGATACCTTAGCTTTGATGACCAAACAACCACCTCAAAATATGATAGACATACCTGCAAAAATTCAAAACAATGTGGTCTGAAATTAAAGTCCCGATTTCTGGTCATCCATGTAAATACACTGCCCAGAAGCACTCCATTCAAAATCAAGAATAAGAAACTTCTTCTTTGAATCATTGGCGGACGCAAGTT